CGCCCCCTCCTGGCGGTGGAGTTCGCTCCTCCCAGCTACGGCACTAGCAGAGTGGCCCGCTGCCACCGCGTTATTCACCTAGCGGAGGCGGCCTCATTTACTGGCTACTTCACAAAGCTCCGACTACACGCTGGAGCATTTGCATGGGCTCTGTTCTCGCCTCCGGGAGCAGCCACGAGCGAACCCGGTGGAGCAGCTTGCTGCGAGAGGGAGCCGGGAGGGAAACTGTGGTACCTTATTTTACTGTAATTGCAAAAGGAACGATGTGCCAGAGATTTATATTTAGAAGTTGTATGTTTCTACTTTTATGTAAATGGAGCAATTAGGGCCTGTCTTGCTGCTGCTAACGCCAATGCTTGTGCCTTGCTGGGGAGCTGGTGTTTTCAATCACAATTAGTGAGCTGGTCAAAAAACAAAGTTCGTCTAAGGATAAGAGCTCAACTGTGCAGAGAGGGGAGCTAGCAGGCCTCCTGTGCCGGCCTGTGGCTTGCGGTGACACATACCTTCGGGGCACAGCTAACCCTCTAGCGGTGTGTAACCGTGGCAGCAGCTGTCCCTCTGCGAAGTTGGCATAGAGGAAGAAGCGAGAATGTTCACTTTTCTTCGCAAGCAAACCGTATGTCCTTCGGCTTTCATCCAGGCTATTAATTGGTCTCTTTCCTCACTACTCCTGGAACAAGGAGACAGGCCTGGAAAAGGGGGCCATTTCTCATGGCTGTTGTTTTAACTGCTGCTCACGCATTGCTGTTATTCAGTGAAAAATCCAAGCCAGGAGAGCGAATACCCTAGGCAGGTAAACGAGGGGTCCTCTGATTCAGCTGAAGTGACACAGGGCTGGGGGGCCTCAGAGGCACAAACCAGGCTGGGTGTTTTAGTTCCTTCCTATGATAAAAATCTGTTTCCAAAAAAGCAGGATTTCTGGTTCATCCTGTCTGGGAAACGGAACATGAAACGTGACTGTGGAGAGAAATGGAAAGGACTCGAGGTGTTCTCAGCAGCTGACGTGTTACCGTGGGCTCCGGCAGGAAAAGCAGGCCCTGCTGGTGAGCAGTGACTCCCTTCAGAGGCAGCTCTGAACCCAGAGGACGTGGGCAGGCTCCAGAGTGCCGTTTGCTGCAGTGAGGTTGCAGGAGCGTGTGCTTTCGGGGTTCATCACAAGGCTTAGATCAGATACGGGATTGGCAAACCCTGCCAGTGTCCTGGACCGTCACGGGCTGCGCAAAGCTCACCCCGAGCACTAGGTAGACCTGGGCAGAGAAGATCCACGCCTCACATGCAAAATTGAACTAGGAAGCTGTTTTGCTTTTACCTTGCATCAATGAATAATCGGTTCTAAACAGAAAGAGAGGGGGAAACGTTATAATTCCACTGAAAACAGTAGAGGCAGAAATGGTTAATCCTGCATTTGATTGCGAAACCACACGTGCCTCTCGGAACCACTGAGGAAACCCAGATGCTAGAACTAAAACAATTAGGAAAGAAGGAGGAAAAGAAAACCCCCACTAAGCAAGCCATTATTTATCCCAGAGCGGTGATACCCAACCCGGTGACTTTGTTCACCAGAGGACACTGGACAATGTTTGAGGCATTTGGGTGGTCACAACTGGGGGGTTGGCGCTGCTGACACCTAGTGGGTAGAGGCCGGGGGTCCTGCTTGTCACTCTGCCATGCACGAGACAGTCCCTGCAACAGACAGATTATCGGGCCTAACATATCTGTGTTTCTGCGGTGGAGAAACTGATTTAGGAGTGTAATTGTTACATTTCATCTAGTTGCCTGGCCATCCATGCTCCATGAGGCCTTGGAAACCAAGAAAAATATTGCAACTGTGCAAAATATTAATAATCCAACCGAGTCTGTCCCCTCACGGGCCTCGCACTTCCTGACTCCTGGGGAACCACCCCAGGCTGCAGATACCGGACACCAGACTAGGCCCTCTCGGGCAGCATCCTCTGAGAGAGTCCTACCCAATCTCCCGGATGGCTTCACTCCCTTTCCTCCTGACTCTTTGTTCTCACCCAGAGCAGAATCTTGGTGACCCGCAACAGCATGAGATGAGCTGGCCCACACCCAAGTCGTTAGGAGGCAACGGAGTCATGAGAAAGAGTGAATCAAGAACTGAGCTGTTCATTTCAGCAATTTGGTATCAGATAAATCCAAGCACCGGAGAATTCCCTGAAGTAAAATTCACAAAAGTGAGATTACCATGCCTTTCTCCTAGAGCAAACCCATATGATGGAGCTCGATTTTATTTGTCTAATCCCTTAGGGGGTGAATGACACACAATCAATATCCGAAGAGATAAAACAGAGCCTTTTGCTAAATCCTAATGCTTGTTCCAAGCAACATTATATTCTGCAAACTTCCTTTTGAGAAGGAAGAGGTATGGCTGTTAAAGGAAGGCCGTGCCCTACAGGTGTTGCTCTCCGGCGAGGACTGGGAGACTGTGTGAGGGATCCCACATCACGGAGACTAACAGTAATCAGAAAATGTTGGTGCAGCCTGCCAAAGGGAAGTCTCTGGATCAAACTAGCTTAGATGTGAAATGCTGTTGTCCAGACGCTGAGAGCCAGCCTCCCTGGCCTTGCTCTTCAACCCTGAGCGCCGAGGTTACCCAGAAGGGAGAGGGTCGCTCAGAGGCTGTCTGAAGATGAAAAGAAGCCACGAGGGGCCGGCCTCAGACTCTCTGACGCCATGTCATCTCCTCCAACATGTGAATCACTGTCTCCTCAGGTAAATGGTCATTTTGGAACCAAAGGCCTCAATCAACTTTCACATGATTCAGAATTGCCTGGATTTCTTCCCAAGAAGTAACCATTTGAAACATGTAAGAAATTCAGTATTGAGAGAAAGAATCATTTACGACTTCTGTAGAAAACATAGATGGGGGATAAAAACACCACACACACGTGCACTCCAGCTCCAACGGGAAAAATAGGACCTCAGATTCTTCCTCGCCAATATGTATTTCTGAATTGTTTACCACAACTCAGTTCTAAGCCAACCAGGAAACATCTGCTCCAACCCTCCATCTTCCTACTGCCCTGAAAGATGATGGGGGAGCACTGTCCAATGGACACGAAGCCTGTCGTCATCATTTTCCTCACCTGGATCCCCTCGGGTAGTAAGTTCCATGTTGCCGACTTGAGGACATAGAGGTTTAGCATAGAGATTCCACTGGGCCGATGGACGTGCAGAAATGCTGATTCCAAGCTGGTTTTGCCTGTCCACAGAGATACCCCCATAACACAGCTGTGGAGGGAAGAAGCCTGCAAAGCCTGGGAGACGTCCTACGTGTACTTTCTGTTTTTCAGTCAGTGAGTTGCTGCCTCCCTCCTGTCCTGACAGAAGCGGTCCAAAGGTTTTGCCCCTGTGTGGGAGCAGTGGTGAGGTACATCCAGGCCGGCCCGAGCGGAGCGCTGCTGTCCACGGGCACTGCGTGCTCTCTGGCAGGGGCTCAGCTCAGTTAGTAAATATTTCCAGGTGCCTCACTCTAATTATAGGAAGGTCAAGTTTGCAAAGGTGAAATAGCAAGCAGGACTTCTGTCGATTTTTATTAGCTTGGACAAGGACACTGTGATTAAGCACGGTGTTCTCGCAGAGTTTAACGGGAATCACTGAGTTATGTAACCCATCTTAAACGTTCGAAAACCAACTTCTGGCGAGGGCCAGATGGTGGTGCAGCAGTAGCACTCTGGAAGGCTGGCTGATGTGAGAAGGACCCAGGTTCTGGTCCACAGACCTTTCTGAGTCCTCTGGGCACATGTGTGCCCAAGCTCTGGGGCTGGCTGAGGGTGGAGAGAATCGTCAAGACCTCAGGGTGCTGTCCATCCTTCTTCCTCTCTCTCTCCCTCATGGAAGAACTAAATAAATAAAACGAAATAAACCAGAACAACAACGACAACGAACAATAACTTAGGAGGCCATTCCTCATGGCCTGATGGTTAAGGGAAGCCAGATCCCACTGCATTTGAACTGCTGTTCAAATCCCAGCTCCGGTGGTTTGAAAAATATGCAGGCATGTGTGTGGGCATGCCCCAAATCCCAACAGAATAAGAAAATGGAGGAGAAGGCACTGCAGCATGACTACGCCCCATGGGGAGGGGGAATACTCTCTCCCTCTCCTTCTCTGTCTCTGTCTCTCTCTCCCTCTGGTGAGTGCACATGCTCTCTGGCAACCAATAAGATAAACAAATAACATAGCCACTGTCTTTTGTTCTTAGGACTTACTGAGTTCCTCTTTTAAGATGAATAGTATAATGAATGAAGGGAGAAACATTATTTTAGAGGAGGCAGGGAGTAGGGAGAGCTCTAGAAAAACCTCTCTCCCAAAGGCCAGGGGTTAACTTGTGATGGCTTTATGAAACACGGGCAGAAAGCCAATGTGTAATTTTGGCAAACTCCAACATCATTTAACTATGAAATGAGAATAATTAAAATGGTGCTCCCTATAGAAAAAGAGTTCACCCAATAAGTTCCCCAAATTTCAAGGAACTTTTGTTTTATTAGATGCTGTTAGCTTCATGTTAGTCACAGGGAGAAAAGAATGCCCACATACACACGCACAACTAAATGCAGTCAGTTTGCTCAGCTGCCGCTGACGTCACTGCTGCCCACCAGGAGTGAGTTACTGTAATAACCCCCTCTTATTAATCATAGGCTGGAGGAAGCACAAAGGGGTGACATCATAAGGCAGAGGACCGGCTAACTCATGCTCCAATTTACTCAGCTTCAGTATAACATTTCTCAAGTGTCATATGAAAGTGATTACCATTTCACACTTTCCCCCTCAGAGCAATCAGGCCTAACCTTCATTTCAAACTCCCAGAGAAAAGCTTAGCTGTTCACATGGAGGTAAGTAAAGGCCAAATCTCACTAAGGGTCCTGGTCCCAAGAAGGAATGTCCTTAGAACAGCTTCTCCCTGGGCTTGAAGTAGAGGCACTTTCTAGAACCACAGTAACTGACTCTCTTCCTTCTGGCCCTGGTGGGGGCAGCTGATGGAGGCGACAGCCCATCCTGACGGGGACTCTGATGGGCCCTGACCCACACGATGGTGATGAGAGCACAGACTCTCCACGCCAGGGTCGCCCTGGTGGGGGCAGCTGATGGAGGCGACAGCCCATCCTGACGGGGACTCTGATGGGCCCTGACCCACACGGTGTCGTGGTGATGAGAGCACAGACTCTCCAAGCCAGGGTCTGACACAGAGTGGCAACTCCATGGGCAGACAGGATGAAGTGGTGACTAAGTGTGTGGGCTCTGCAGTCAGACTGCCTGGGCCCCCACTCAGGACTTACTGCCTGTGAACTGGGGTACGCTGGGCCACGACTGCCTGTCAGCAGCTCGGTTTCCCCGGTGAGTAAACGCTGACCACGACAGCACCTCCTTCACAGGTAGGATTGTGGCGAGGCACACCAACTCTGCCTGGTATCCTGTAAATGCTGCCCACTGCTCTAACTTTGCTGCTGCTTCTTCTTAGAAAGCTTTGCTGGCTAAACTGAACTTTCTGCAGCCCACTCTGTCAAGCATTGGAAAGAGGGGTGAACAGTCTGTGCCCAGCCTTCAGAGGAGCCTGGTTTGGGGGGAGAGCCGACTGCATGTTTGGCTAGGACTTGGAATCTACAAGTCAGCCCCCCTGCATGTGGTCCAGTTCCCTCACCTGCTACTGTTTATCTGATGAGGTGTTTCTGGAAACCAAAAAAAAACATGTATTAGAACCAAAAGAGTGGGGCTGAATAATGGTGCACTGGTAAGCCGTGACACTCTGCAAGGTTAGCCCACATGGAAAGGTTCTGGGTTTGTGTCCTGAGACCTCTCTGGGTACACAAGGCATGTGCGTTTCCATGATCTGAGGCTGACTGGAGCTGGGGGCAGATGGCATTGTCAAGACCCTGTCAGTAGGGCTGTCTCTTTCTCAGTTTCTTTTGCTCATGGAAGAAATAAATAAATAAACTTAAAAAAATAAAAAAGACATTGGTTTAAAGATTCCTAAGAGCATCATGTTACTGTTGTTTCTTTTTGAATAGACAAAAACAAAATTGTCAGGCTGTTCAGTGTCTATATATATACACACACATATATATGTATGTATATATGAGAAAGGAGCATCTCCATAATGTTTATGCATCAGGAAAAACAAATGTTTTCACCACAGGCCGAGTTATACTTCATCCTCTTTAAACTAGCTTCTTGGGGCCCTTGCAGAAGCCATTTTATGGACGTCTTCACTCATCTCCTTACTTGCAGTCTCACCCGGAGGGTATTCTGAGGAGTCGCAATAAAGCCTACCTAGGCGTGTGTGAGAGACAGAATAATAGACCAAAAGAGAAAGCTGGGGCTTTGTAATATTTAGATAATGATGAAACTGGCTCGGCTGATGCGGAGAGCAGTAATTACGTGCAGAGACTGTTCCTTGCGTTCACCTGTGCTCAGTATGGAATTATAAGCATTCTAGGTGAGAAGTTTGGCTTCCCAAATGATCAGCTGGTACAGCCAGAACTGCCAGACCATGTCATGTGGTAAATAAAATAGTACACGTAGCATCTCCAAATTGGAAGCTTCCTTTGATAAGGATGCCAGGGTATCTGCTGCCCCCGAATTGGCACCATGAAAAGTAGCACATACTTTTAAAGAAGCAAAGTAGGGGGACCAGCAGTTAGTGTAATGGCTATGTCGCTGGACTCCCATGGAGTCGACCGTGGTTCAAGCCCCAGACCCAATGGCTTAAACTCACGCCGGGCACGTGTGCGTGCGTGCCCAGGATCCCGAGAGGAGAATGGAGGAGAAGGGATTGTGGTGTGGCCATCCCCCTCGAGGAGGGCGATTTCTCGCTTTCTTTCTCTCTGTCTTTCTGGTGAGCGCACGCACCCTAGAGCAAAAACCTCCCCAGAAAATGAAGCAAAGTAGAGTTCAGGTTAGTTAGTGGCTGAATCTCCCCCATCAATGGAAGTTGTGAATTTGGCCACTTCCCTGAACCTGTTTGTTCCTGATAAAGCAAAACCATCGGGGACATTCATGTTTGGTCCTAGTCTTTTCGTGACAAAATACATCTGGTTTCTGACAGCTGCCTGGGTGGGACCAGGGCAAAGGGTTGACCCAGCACAAACCAACAATGTTCATAATACTACTGCAGGGAACTCTTATAGGGGACATTCAAAACAACATATCCTTCTTCTGCTGAAATTTCTGAAAGCCCCAGTAAAGGAACGTGACCACCAGGAAATGCAAATCCTACTGACTTGTGGAGCATCCCAGACATAAGTGGTGCCTGAGCTACTGTGCCCATGGGAAGAGGCTGGGGCGCCCTCTTCTGGCTCATTTGTGTAGAGAAAATCCTTATGAAGGTAGCAGTAAAAGGCACCTTCTCTCTGATTCATCCACCTCCAATACCGAAATCTTTGCCTTTTAAAATAATATCCATGTGGACTTTAAAACTAACACATGTTCTTTGTATAAAGTGCAGAAAATATAAATGCATGTGAAACATGGAAGTCACAGGTGACCATTCCTCACAGAACTAGTTGTTATTAAAATTTGGGGTATGCGTATGACTAAAATTGTAGTCATACTATAAGTATGATTTTCCATATGGATATTTTTACCTATCGGTTTTTGTTGACTATTTTCAATGGGCAAATTGTTCCTTGAAAATATTAATGATTGGGGGGTGATCTATCAGATAGTGTGTATTTTTAAACCACTCTACTGCCATTGTACATTGAAGCCATTTCAGAAATTTTCCAAGCATGAATGATATTGCAGGTTCTGTTTTGTATTTTTGAGGACATGTCTAGTTACTCCCCTAAGATAAACTCCTAGAAATTGAAATATTGGATCTAAGAATATGGATATCTTTAAGATCTTCATATATTACCACAGTGCCCCATCCTAGAAGTTTTCACCTATTTCTATCCCAACCTATAGTGTAAGGGTATGTCTCTTTTTCTATGTTTTGAACTAGATTTTGCCAGAAGCCCCCCTCCCCAAGCCAAATATGGTATATATGGTTGGTTTAAATTTGGATTTTTCTATTATTGTTTAAGGTAAAACATTTTGTTGTTCATTTGCACAACTTTCTTTTGAGTCCCTGGTCAGGTCCTTTTTGTCTGTTGTTTACCCCTTTCACCAATAAGAACTTATTCATACACTTATATTTTAAGCAAGATTTTATTACATACAAATTTATATTGTATATATTAACTTACATTTTATCATTATTATTTTCTGAGAGAGACTTTTGTTCTAGGGCACATGAGCTGGCCAGAGAGACAGAGTGAAACAGAAAGTGGGAAATCACCCCCCAGCGGGGATGGCCATGCCACAATCCCTTCTCCTATATTCTCCTCTTGGGATTTTGGGCACGCATACGCGCATACAACCCAGTGTGAGTTTTAAGCCACTAGGTCTGGAACTCAAACTGCAGTCTGCCATGAGGAGGATCCAGCAACATAAGCAATATGCTAT